GAAACCCCATCTCTACTAAAAATACAAAAATTAGCTGGGCATGGTGGTGAGTGCCTGTAGTCCCAGCTCCTCGGGAGGCTGGGGCAGAAGAATTGCCTGAACCCAGGAGGCGGAGGTTGCGGTGAGCCAAGATCGCGCCATTGCACTCCAGCCTGGGTAACAAGAGCGAAACTCCGTCTCAAAAAAAATAATAAAAAATAAAAATAAAATAAATAAATAAACAAATAAATAAATAAATAAATAAAAATAAGGCCAGGTGCTGTGGCTCATGCTTGTAATCCTAGTACTATGTGAGGCCAAGGTGGGAGAATTGCTTGAGCCCAGGAGTTCAAGACCAGCCTGGACAACAGAGGGAGACCTCATCTCTACAAACATGGTGGCATATGCCTGTAGTCCCAGCTCCACAAACGTAGTGGCATACACCTGTAGTCCCAGCTACTCAGGAGGCTGAGGAAGGAGGACTGCTCTGGCTCAGGCCAAGGCTGCTGTGAGCCATGGTTATGTCACTGCACTCCAACTTGGGCAACAGAGACTGTGTCTCAAAAATAGATAAATATGATAGATAGATAGATAGTATACATAAGGCTGGGTGTGGTATCTCATGCTTGTAATCCCATCACTTGGGGCCAGGAGTTCAAGACCAGTCTGGTTAACACAATGAGACCCTGTCTCTACCAAAAAATTAAAAAAATTTGCTGGACATGATGGCACACCTGTAGTCCCAGCTACTTGGGAGGCTGAGGTCGGAAGATTGCTTGAGCCCAGGAGGTCAAGGCTATAGTGAGCTGTGGCTATGCTACTGCACACCAGCCTGGGCGAAAGAGTAAGACCATTGTCTCAAAAAACAAGTAAACATATAAGAAAAGGTACCAGAAGGGAAGGTCCCCTGAAAATATGGATGGTAGTTGTGTTTGACTGGTGGCTTTATGGTGACTTACATTTTTTCTCGTATTTCTAAATTTTCTATGAACAATTCAAGTACTACTAGTAAAAATAATCCCCATCTCAACTGTATGAATGGTAATTCCCATCCCATTATAGCCTGTTTGATTTATCATTTGTGTTTACAAGTCTGAAATGACTGTGACTTTTATGGCCATGCACAGGATGGCAAGCACTACTCTTCATGTACTTTTGGTGCCAGCATCGGTTTTCATTCAATGGTACTGTTCAGAACACTTTGCTGGTGGGCCCGGCTTTTCAAGGCCTTCTTCAGTCTCTTGCCACCCTCCACAACAGACAAACATTTTCTCTGTGCCCTATCACTGGGCTTCAGGCCGGCTGTGTCCCTAATCCGCCCACGTCCCAGATTTGGGTATGGTTCCCCCACCTCTCCCCCCTTTTCTTCCAATCTCATCTCTGCTAGGTCATCTGAGGCCTCATCTGTGCTCCCTGGCCTTCCCCACTGGTCACCACCTAATTTCACCATCTAATTTTACCCTCTTATGTGCAGCTGATGTTTGCTTTTGCTTGGGTTCAGTTTGCAGTGGGGAAGGATTAAGACCCTTTCACGCTGTCATTTTTTTTCCTTTTTTTTTTTTGCTTAGTGCCCTTGACTGCTCCAGGGGCTAACAGGCAGCTAGCGGGGCCTGTATTCCCTAGGAAGGAACACAAGGGGTAGGGGGTGGGGAGGTAATGGTGGGATCAGCTGGCAGGCGAGATAGAGATGGCCCTTAGGGACCCCATCCTGGGGCTTGGAGCATGGCACAGCCGCCACCCAGATGTAAGCATGGAGCAGAGCTGTTTCTGCCTAGGAAATTAGCCTCAGAGATGGTGCTTGGGACCTTTACCCTTAGTACCTGATGACAGTCTCTGCAGGGTGAGCTGGGACTGGATGTCTGCTTTGCAGAAGTCTGAGAGGGCAGATGAGCCAAGGAGTAAAGTAGTTTTTCTGCCTTCATATTAGGTCTTATTTATACCCCCACATCCTACTATGTGATCGGCCTGGCAACACTCAGAGATTGGGCACTTAGCCTAACAAGTGAAGATACTTGTCTAAAATAACAAAAGTTCCTCATGTGTGGATAGTACTTTACAGTTTACAAAGCCCTTTCATGTGCAGGCCAATAATTAAAAGCCAGCACTGGAATTCAGGTCTTTCAGATTCTAAAGCCTGGGCAACTGGATTTTGAATTGCTACTGCATGGCACTCTGAATTTCAGGGTGGTTCATACCTGCCTTGTGTCTAGCCCTTTTCTGTTAGCCTGAGACCTCTACTTACTTTCAGGGTAATGATTACTAAATGCTACACATTCTGTGCATCCAGCCAGCATCTTTAAATATGATGTGCCGATGGCTAGCACTTCATGGCATAGAGATTATTGGTTTTCATGAATCTGAATTTGCTGGATAACTTGGTGGTGGTAGAGGTAGTAAGCCACTGGTGATTGATCTATCGTCATCCTTCATGGTACCAGACTTTCCTGTCTGATTGGTGAAGGAAGCCTGAGGCACAGAGGTGGTAGGATTAGAACCCTGAATAAGAAGCATGGCTGAACCTGAGGACTTGAGGCAGGAGACCAGAGTATTCAAGAACAGGTGCGGCCAGGCACGGTAGCTCATGCCTGTAATCCCAGCATTTTGGGAGGCTGAGGCGGGTGGATCACCTGAGATAGAGAGTTCAAGACCAGCCTGACCAACACAGAGAAACCCTATCTCTACTAAAAATACAAAATTAGCCAGGTGTGGTGGCACATGCCCAGATACTCGGGAGGCTGAGGCAGGAGAATTGCTTGAACCTGGGAGGCAGAGGCTGCAATGAGCTGAGATCACACCACTGCACTCCAGCCTGGGCAACAAGGGCAAAACTGTGTCTCAAAACAAAAAGACGCAAACAAACAGGTGCTTCACCCTTAGTACACAGAATGACCCTGGCCAAGTCACCTGACCTTACCTCAGTTTCATTATATATAAAATGAGGACATTCATTAACTGGTTCAACGAACATTTATTGAGTGTATACTGATACATAGGAGATAAATACAGATACAGTTCCTATCCTCCTGAGCTTGCAGTCTAGTGGGTCTAGATTACAGCAATTTATTTGAGAGGCACAGTAAATAATAAATATATAGTCAAATGTCAAGTAGGGTAAGTGCTATGAAGTAAGTTAAAGCACAAGGACAAGGACAAGGGTGCTTTTAGATGGTGTAGTCAGGTGGTTTTCAAGGGGTTTTATGATATTTCAAACAGACAATTTACATAACACGTTCAGCTCGGTGCTGACAATTGCATGCTTAACAAATACATGATTACATTTGCCGGTTCTACACCTCTCAGTCCATATTTTAGTCTCCAAATAGTAGTAATAATTAATGCACATAGATCTTATTCTGAGCTAGGCACTGCTCTAAACCCTTTATATATTTTAACTCATTTAATTCTTTTTTTTGAAATGAAATCTCGCCCTTGTTGCCCAGCCTGGAGTGCAATGGTGTGATCTTGGCTCTCTGCAACCTCTGCCTCCTGGGTTCAAGTGATTCGCCTGCCTCAGCTTCCTGAATAGCTGGGATTAAAGGTGCCTGCCACCACGCCCGACTAATTTTTGTATTTTTAGTAGAGATGGGGTTTCACCATGTTGGCCAGGCTGGTCTTGAACTCCTGACCTCAGGTGATCTGCCTGCCTCGACCTCCCGAAGTGCTGGGATTACAGGTGTGAGCCACCACACTTAGCCTAATTCTTACAGAAACTCTATCAGATAGGAACTACTATTATCTTTCTCTCTCCCCAACCCCCATTTTTGTTTTTAGAGATGGAATCTTGCTTTGTTGCCCAAGCTGGAGTGGAATGGTATGATCCCAGCTCACTGTGGCCTTGAACTCCTGGACTTGAGCAATCCTCCTGTCTCAGCCTCCCACTATAGGTGGGAGTCCCAGCTACTTGGACATATTATCTATCTCCTTTTATGGTGTTGAAAAATGAAGCACGGGGAAAATCAAACAATTAGGAAGGTATGGAGACTAAGAATGTAACCCAGGCCATCTGTTTCTAGAGGCTGTGCTGGGAGTGTGAAGGGGCTGTGATGAGATATCAGGAAATGTCTAGTTGGTTATCTACAGGTTCTGCTGTCAGATTGCCTGGCTTTTTATCCTGTCAGGTCTAAGTCTCTGCTTCAGTTTCCTCATCTATAAAATGGAACACCAGGTCCTATCTTACTTTTTAGGCATCATGCTTAAAACAAGCCTTCTTTCTGCACGGTGGGTCTGAAGCCTGTTCAGAGACCAGCCTAGCAGGGAGTATGAAGGGTTAGGGAGTCTCTGACACTTCTGGAAGGAAATAAAGACACACCAAGCAATTGTCAGAGCAACCCTAAGTTCATCTGGAGACCAGACCTCGGAAGCTAAGTCTTTATAATTTTGAGATTGCCAGTGGGGAATTAGAAGATCCTTAAACGCAGAAGACAGGTTCAGTCTTGGCGTGGCCTCAATACTTAGCTTCCATTTCAGCCCTTACACAGCTGGTAGGAGAGGTAAAGTCTCACCGAATGTCAGGGTGGGAAGGGCGCCTAGACACAGTCAAACTAGTGGATGGGGAAACTGAGGCATAGAGAAGCTGAGTGACTTACGGGAGGTCACTAAGCGTTGGGGTGGCCTGGCTACAACCTCTATGTGAGGTCTTTCTCTGAGGCTACCAAATCTCAGCGTCTTACCTGGGTCTCCTCCAGGAGGAAAGGATCTCACCTTCGTCCAGGGCTCTAGCTGCCTCAGGCCCCACGTGGGTGCTGCGGGATCCCGGAACACCCCGGCTTCAGACCGGGTTCAGCTTGCGCGTGCGCACACGTGGCCAGCCCCTTGCCTTTTCCTCTCTTTTTCCTTCCCCTCTCCTCTGCTTACCGGCCTAGGGGAGGGGGGAAACAAGAGGAGCTAGAAGTTGGCCTCAGCCAATGGGAGGACGGGCCGCGGGCCCGGCCCCCTCCTTCCCTCCGGCGCGGCCCAATAGAAATTTACTACAATGTTGTGGCGAACCGAGGGGGAGGGGCGCGGGCGAGCGGGCGGGCTGCGGGCCGGGCCGGCCTCGTCTCGCCGAGGGAAGGCGGGAGGGCGCGCGCCAGGGCCGCTAGTCTGCTCGCTCGCTCGCTCCCTCCCTCGGCTGGTGGGTTTAGTCAGTCAGCCAGCAGCAGCCCGCGGGCCCGCGAGCCGCAGAGGGCCCGAGCCTGGAACGCCGGCGCCTCCTCCTGCCATTGTTCGTCTGGCTGCGGCAGCGAGGGGCGCGGGAGCCCGGCCCCGGAGCCACCGGTGAGGCGAGGCGGGGGCGGCGGCGCGGGAGACGGGGCGGGGGGGGGGCGTGGAGCTGTCCCCGTGGGGACGGTCCTGGCGGCCGCGGCGGCGCTGCAGCCTCTTTGTCTGCAGCCCCCTACAGGCCCCGGGCCGGGGCGCGGGCTCTCCCGCGGAGGGGCCTCGTGCGCACGCCGGGGCGCGAGCCGGGACGCGGCCTGAGGAGCTAGGGGCCGGCCGGAGCCGCCGAGGCGAGGGGAAGGGGAAGGGGTTGCGTCGCGGGAGCTTTGGAAAGTTGGGCTTGGGGTGTATTTTTGACGAGGGTAAGTCGGTCCCCTCGGGCGCGTCAACCACGGTGCAGTGGGCAGGCGCCTCGGCAGAAAACCAAACGCGGAGAATCGCAGGTTTCGGACGGCGAAGGTGTTGCGCGCGGCCGCGGAGCGATTTCCTCCTGGCGAGGGAGCGGGGCCGTCTGCAGAAGTCAGGCGCAGTCTCAGGGCTGCGGGGAAGCCGGGCGGGACTTCGCAGGCCTTCCCGCCACCGACGCCTGCCTCGTGGAACAACACGTTCCTCGAACCCGGGGCAGTCAGACGCTCTCCCCGCTTCGTCTTCAGGGTCCCCAGCGAGCAGAGGGTTAAATCTGTTCTCTCGGCGTCGTGACCTCCTTTTTCAGTTCGCGCATCTGTCGGCTTGGACATCTTCCCCCGTGCTCGCTGGGCTGCTGTACCTGTGGGGAGGCCGGCTCTGCGCTCGCCCTCCGAGACGCACCAGCAGGCCCTTACTGCCGGGGAGGCTTTTGCCAAAACAAGGTCACGTTCCCCAAGAGCAGACATTCTCTTGAAAGTGATCTCACGTGAAGCAGATTGCTGATGGACTGGTTTCTGGCCACATGATCGCGATTGTCATCCTGTTGTTTCTCTAACTGCACCCTATACCCTGCCGTAAATGACTAGTCTGTGGAGACTTGTTTTTTGCATGTGGTTGCTCATTAGGAGATAGTTTTTTCCTTTCTTTTTCTTTTTCTTTTTCTTTTTTTTTTTCTTTCAGTAGTCTGGGTGATTTCACAGCTGCTATTTTGCTCCCTTCTGTTTTTAGGGAAAATTGCAAGAAATGGTTGTGTCTGTGTCTTGGATATTATTAGAGTGGATTTATACTCTCTTGAGGATGTACTGTAGTCAGTGCTGTTGCTCATTGTTGTTTTCTGTATTCTCAGTCCTGGCAAAAATTTTAGTGGATTAAAGGGAAAAATATCTTTAATCAATAGCCTGTATATATTTCTTCTCGTCCCAATTTTGTTAACGTAGCACTAACCTCTACTTTTTATGGAAGCTTGACGTACTCTTCATTTTCCTTTTTTGTAAATTGAAAGTGTAATCAGTTCTTTGCCAGTTGTAAAATTTTTGGTTTGGGGTATTGTTAATATAATCCATGTAGAGTACATGCTATCTGGCATACAGTAAGCACTCAATAAATGGCAGATTCAAAAATAGATGTAATAACTGAACAGCAGATTGCCTTAGCATCAAAGTAGTTAATTCGAGTGCTTTCTGTAAGAAGCTTATAATTAAGGTAAAGATAGATAGTATTCATATACCTTGGGAAACACGTACAGTATATCTTTGCCACTATTAAAAGTGAACTTGGCCAGCAACAGTGGCTCACGCCTGTAATCCCAGCACTCTGGGAGGCCAAGGCAGGTGGATCACCTGAGGTCAAGAGTTCGAGACTAGCCTGGCCAGCATGGTGAAACCCCATCTTTATTAAGAATACAAAAAAGTAGTAGGGCATGGTGGTGTGTGCTTGTAATCCCAGCTGCTCAGGAGGCTGAGGCAGAAGAATCGCTTGAACCTGGGAGGCAGAGGTTGCAGTGAGCCCAGATTGCACCACTGCACTCCAACCTGGGCAACAGAGCAAAACTGTCTCAAAAAAAAAAAAGGTGAACTCATTGTTAAATATAAGTTCAGAGTGCCAACCCTCTGATTCCTCTTTCTTCTAATAAAACTATACATTTTTCCTTGTATGTTTGAATTCAGACTTAGAAATAAATGTTTTTAATCTGTAGGTTTTACCAAATTTCCCCCCCAGTTTTTTGTTTTTTGTTTTTTGTTTTTTTAAGCAGACAAGGTCTCATCTGTTACCCAGGCTGGAGTGCGGTGGCATGATCATGGCTCACTGCAGCCTCGAACTCCTGGGCTCAAGTTATCCTCTTGCTTTAGCCTCCCTAGTAGCTGGGGCTATAGGCGTGTGCCACCATGCTTGGCTAATTTCTTTTTATTTTTTGTGGAGACAGTCTCAATATGTTGCCTAGGCTGGTCTTGAATTTCTGGGCTCAAGGGATCCTCCTGCCTAGGTCTCCCAAAGTGCTGGGATTACAGATGTACGTTAGCCACCTCACCCACCCTCTCCCAACATTCACTAAGTGTCTTATACCAAATGTCTTGTAAGTTCTTATGCAATATGGCTACAATCTACCTTTCCACCTTTATTCTCCTCATTCCTTGTATTGTCCAACCAAATAGAACTACTCAGTAGTAACCCTTGCTTTGCCATCTCTCTCTGTCTCTGTCTCTGTCTCTGTCTCTCTCTCTCTCTCTCTCTCTCTCTTTCTCTCTCTCTGTGTGTGTGTGTGTGTGTGTGTGTGTGTGTGTGTGTGTGTATTTATTTATTTATTTATTTTGAGACAGTGTCTTGTTCTGTTGTCCAGGCTGGAGTGCAGTGGCGTGACCTCAGCTCACTACAACCTCTGCCCCCGGGTTCAAGCCATTCTCCTGCCTTATCCTCCTGAGTAGTAGCTGGGACTACAGGTGTGCACCATCACACCCAGCTAATTTTTGTATTTTTAGTAGGGATGGTTTCACCATGTTGGCCAGGCTGACCTTGAACTCCTGTCCTCAAGTGATCCACCTTTGGCCTCCCAAAGTGCTGGGATTACAGGTGTGAACCACCATGCTGGCCCTGTATATATTATTTTTTTAGAGACAGGGTTCTCACTTTGTTGCCTGAGCTAGAGGGCAGTGGTGTGATCCTAGCTCACTGCCTCCTTGAACTCCTGGGTTCAAGTGATTCTCCCATCTCAGCCTCCTGAAGAGCTGGGACTATAGGCATATACCACCATGCCCAGTTTTTTTTTTTTTTTTTTTTTTTTTTTTTTTTTTTTTTTAAGACATGGTGTTCTGCCATGTTGCCCAGGCTGGTCTCAAACTCCTGGGCTCAAATGATTCTCTCACCTCTGCTTCTTAGTGATGGGATTACAGACATGAGCCACTGTGCCTGGCCTAGTCTGGATTACAGATGCAAGCCACCATGACTGGTGTGTAATATTTGGTGTGAATGATAGGGTGTGCTCACATTGTTTTTTGAATGTAGAAATTCAATTTAACATTGGTAATCTGATTTCATAACTTTAGAATATCAGTGGCCATCAGGGGCTGAGTTCGGTTCTGAATTCAAGAGGAGTATACATTTAGACCACAGTCTATTGCCTTGTTATTGAAGAGGCAGGACAGCATAAGTGTTGCCAGTGTATTTTTCTTTTTCTTGTCTTTTTTTTTTTTTGAGACAAGAGTCTTGGTCTGTCACCCAAGCTGGGGTGCAGTGGCACAGTCATGGCTCACTATAGACTTCCCAAACTCAACCAACCCTCCCATACCAGCCTCCTGAGTAGCTGGGACTGCATGTGTGAGCCATCACAGCCAACTAATTAACAACAAATTTTTTTTTGTAGAGACTAGGTCTCTCTCTGTTGCCCAGGCTGTTCTCAAATTCTGGGCTCAAGTGATTCTTCCACCTTGGCCTCCCAGAGTGTTGGGACTGTTGGGATTACAAGCATGAGCCACCACCCTGGCCTGGATTTGTTAATATATATATATATATATATATATTCTTTTTTTAGACAGAATCTTGCTCTGTCACCAGTCTGGAGTTCAGCAGCACAATCTCGGCTCACTGCATTCTCTGCCCCTGGGTTCAAGGGATTCTCCTGCCTCAGTCTCCTGAGTAGCTGGGACTACTGGCTCGCACCACCACACCCAGCTATTTTTTGTATTTTTAGTAGACGGGGTTTTACCATGTTGGCCAGGATGGTCTCGATCTCTTGACCTTGTAATTTGCCCGCCTTGACCTCCCAAAGTGCTGGGATTATAGGTGTGTACCACCATGCCCAGCCTCTTTTTTTTTTCTTTCTTTCTCTTTCTTTGAGTGCTGATCTCATTTAGAAATATGCACCTTACTGACACTTTGCTTCAAATACTGGTTTTGGGAAAATTTGGTGGGAAAATCTGATTATGATGAAAGTGTGTTTATACTTATTTTGCTGATTATTTTGATTTAAATGGGATTGTATCCACTTGAAATATTTGAAAAAAAAAATTGGCTAGCTCTTTGAACTTTGGAGAACAGCAGCCAGTATAATTCAAGGAGTGGCTTGAAGAGACTTTAATATCCCCTACTTACTAACTTCATCAGCTTCCCCTAAGTCACCCTAAGTAAACATGCAGTTTGGGTGGGAACTGGGAGCTTGATATCCAAATATTATCTCTCTCCTTCCAGTCAAATTGTTATCCTTAAAAATTGCTATCCTTGGCCGGGCGCGGTGGCTCACGCCTGTAATCCCAGCACTTTGGGAGGCCTAGGAGGGTGGATCACGAGGTCAAGAGATCGAGATCATCCTGGTCAACACAGTGAAACCCCGTCTCTACTAAAAAAAAAAAAAAAAAAAATTGCTATCCTTAAAAGTCCTTCATTTTCTTTCAAGACAGGGTCTTGCTCTGCCACCCAGGCTAGAATGCAATGGCATGATCTTGGCTCACTGCAACCTCCACCTCCTGGGTTCAAACAATTCTCCCACATCAGCCTCCCGAATAGCTGGGACCACAGGTGTGCAACACCATGCCTGGCTCATTTTTGTATTTGGTAGAGACAGGGTTTCACCATGTTGGCCAGGCTGGTCTTGAACTCCTGACCTCAGGTGATCCACCTGCCTTGGCCTCCCACAGTGATGGGATTACAGGCATGAGCCACAG